ATCTACAACACACTCTGAGTTTATTATATAATGAAACCCAACTAAGCCTTCAGTGGATTTTAAATCATATACTAACATAAGTGTATAGTTCTTTTCTTTTTTTATAATATATAGAGCAGTTGATATAGATAATTCTTCATTGCTACAAAGATGCAAAGCATGCTTTAATTTTTGCCAATACAATCGAAGATATTGTCTTACTTCCCTTCTTTTAATTTTTCCCCCAAACCCAAACTACCTTCTAAATATAATCCACATATATTTTTCTAAAGAAAAACTAGATACACTATTTTCTTTATTATAAAAATTATTAGAATTAATAATATCTCTATTTACAATTATCAAAAAGTCAGAGAGGATCTCAAATAATTTGAGTATATTATTGTTCATTTTCACTTCTTTGATAAGAGTCTTTACTAATAAGCTCTTCGTAAAAATCTCATATTGAGTCTTAATACTTACATTTAATTCGTGATCTGATGAGCATAAGGGGGTACTTGTCTACTCCTTTTCAATATAATATATTTTGTCTTGAGTGTATAGTCTACGGATAGCTTGCTAGATGTGATACTAAGAAAATGATAGAAAAAAATTTAAGATGATTAATTATCGAAAAAATATTAGACTATTGGTTAGAAAAAAAAATAGTTAGATCGCACTTTTTTGCAGAACAAATGAGACATCTTCACCAAAATACTAAGCTACCAAGTAGTAATTATAAGCCTGTTGAGTCTCACAATATATATAGTCAGAGGCCCTATCATTTCCGTATTAGAAATAAAATTTTTTGCATAACTAAGTATACCTGTACAAATAGCTTAGATGGACATCTTATTAATATAAAAAACAATCTTATACTAATATAACTAGAAATAATACATATCTGGTTTAGATTAAAAATAATGTTTGATCTCGATAGTAGTACGATATCAGGAATTAATACTGCTAAGTTACGTCTTTCTGATAAGATTGCGCTTTGTTCCTCTTCCTGATGTTTTTTATTAATTCAGGCTTAAGCTTGCTGTGATAACTTCTTAGAGAGTTCTTTTTGTGATATACTAGCAGGACTAGCAAATGCAGTTTTATATTTCTGCTTCTTAACGGATTTTTGTATCATATTAAAAAACTACGATTTTACTAATAGGTAGAGCAAAACAATACCATTCGATGAGCTGTTAGGGTTTAAAGTCCTAGAGCTGATAGTTCTACTCAAGAAGAATGGTAATTATTTTGCAAAATAAAATAGAGGAGCTGATATTTTTATAAGCGTTTGATTAAATTTGATGATAGGGTAAGTATATATAAAAACTCCTACAACAAAAATTTTGGGGCAATTTCATAATAAGATAAGGGATTGAAGTATAGAATTCCAATTTAAGGATTTTTAGTATAAGAATATCGTGAAAATATAATCAGAAAAGAATATGACCTATAAAAACATATAAGGCGTATATACGAGATAAGATAATGCTATGTTTTATATATATTTTAGTTCTGACTCAGATAAAAAAAAGTAAGAATTTTTATATTATTAAAATTTCAAATAGTAGAGTTAAAAGAATAGTTAAGTAATTTCGTGTAAATTTTTAAAAAAAAATAGAATCAGTAATATAGTAATAATAAGTTAGGAGTATTATAATAATACTTACATATGTACTAGAAAACAATTAGATAACAATAAAAAATAAAATTTATTTGTAAAACAGTAATAATAAGTTAGGAGTATTATAGTAAAACTTATATATGTACTAGAAAACAATTGGATAACAATAAAAAATAAAATTTATTCGTAAAATAGTATTAATAGTAAAATAAAACTTAAAAAAGTAAAATAGTTAGTTTTGTTTATATAGTTTATAAAAATTTTTTTATAAAAAGATCAGAAAATGTAAATGCGATATTTATATCTTTTGTATATTCAAGTAGTTAAGTAAAGTCTAAAGTTTTCCAAGTTTATTCATAAAATAATTATCAATAAAATTCTATATACTTATTTAAGTTATTTTTACGCTTTGAAGTTTTAAACTTCTAATCTTTAAAAATGGATAAATTTATAATTCGTCAGAGTTCTAAAACTTCTTATAAGGGCAATATAAATAATAATAAATCTAATGAAAGTGATCAAAAAAAAAATTTGTACTACTTGGGATCCTAATTTATCTAAAATTTATCCTTGGCTTGAAAAATCTGAAGATAATAATAGTGTAGTTATAGTATTTTATACTTGGTGTAAGGTAGCAAAAAAGGTTAATCAATTTACTAAAGGCACATAGTCTTTACGAAAACAAACTTTTGAACGTCATCTTACTACTGTTGATCATCAAAAGGTAACAATTTTTCAAAATCATCAGCAAACTACAATTATTCAAGGGTTTACTTGACAACTTAATGATCAAAAATTAAAGATAATATTATTAATGAGAAATATTTATTATCTTTCAAAAAGTAATCAAGCTATGAATCAATATCCTGCTTTGTGTCAATTAGGATATTTGCAATTTATTAATCATGAAGAACTTTATTTTAAAAATGATCCTATTGTATTAAAGTCTATTGATAATAAAATATTTAACCAATATCAGCATAAATATGCTTCATATGAAAATCCAATTTCAGGATAAGTATTTCTTGCATCAATCATATTTGTTATAGAGTATGAAATTATTCAAGAATTAGTATTAGCAAAAAATTGGAGTATTTTAATTGATGAAAGTACTTCATTTACTTCTAAATATCTTGCAATTGTAACTAAATATCTTACTCAAAATTCACCAGTTTTGCGATATCTTGGAATAATTGAACTTGATAATTGTAATGCAGAATCAATAACTAATAATCTTGAAATATTTATAACTGCTAAATCACTTAATATTAAAAATTCAACTCATTTTGGAAGTAACAGAGCAAGTACAATACTTGGGCAACGTACTGGTATTGCAGCTCGTCTTAAAAAATACAATCCATATATTACTGAAAATTATTGTATCGCATATCGATTATATCTTGCTAGTCAAGATACTGCAGAACAAGTTACTTATTTTAAAATATATAATACTATAGTTAAGAGAATTTATTTATATTTTAGTAGTTCTTATAAAAGGTTATTAACATTAAAAATATTACAACATAATTTAGAAGAACCAGAACTAGTATTATTGAATATTATATCTATGTGTTAGCTCTCATTTTCAAATGTTATTCATAATTTTTATCAATATTTAGAATCTATTAAAGGGGCTTTATTAGAGAAAGCAGCAAATAATCAGCAAGCTACCTCCTTATTAGCTGATATTAATCAAGAATTTGAAATTGCAACAATGTTTTTAGTTAATTATTTCTTTATAATGAGAAATTAATACGTATATTTCAATCTGATTATATCTTATTTGCTGATATTCAATGACATGTTACTATGACAATTGATGCAATTCAGGCTCAATTTATTAGTAGTAACGAGGTTTTGCCTACTTATGGATCAAACTTACTTGAGTATATTACAAATAATAATTTGAGTATTCATGAACTTTCTATATTTATTTCTGATCTTGCTCAAGCAACTATAGAGAGTCTCAATAATCATTTTCCAAACTGAGAATTATATAATGCATTAGGAATATTTGATCCAGAGCAATTACCAAAATTAGATAGTGATTTAGCTAATTATGGTAATGAAATGATTAAAATTCTTGATGATTTTTATAGAACTTCAAAAACAATTAACAGTAAAGAATTTAAACTATTAATTAATAATAAAGAGTTAATTAACGAATGAGAAATAGTCAAATTTTTTCTTAAAAATTATCGATCAATTAGATTTATTGATGCATGGAATCTTATTTTTTTAAAAACTTCTTTTCTTTATGATTTTCCTACTACCTCAATTTTAATACAAATTGCTTTAATTATTCCTGTTACAAATGCAACTGTTGAAAGAGTTTTCTCTTAACAAAATCTTATAAAAACTCATCTTTGTAACCAAATGAATATTAATATACTTAATAATTATTTAATGATAGCTTTAAATGGCCCACCTATTGATTTATTTGATTTTGAAAAAGCTTTTGATTATTGGTATTTAAAAAAGCGCAGAATTTAATTTAGATTAAAAATTAAAATAAAGAATTAATTTTATTTTTAAATTTTTAATATTTAGTTTAGAAGTATTAAAATTTTTAGACAATTATTTTATATATTTTGATATGAATCTGTTATCACTAAATAATACTACAGCCAAATATAAAGTACAATTTTTTTTTATATATAATAATTTATATAATTTATATATAATCATAAATTTGTTTAGGAGTTTTTTTATATATGTCACTAAGTAAATTTAAAGCTATCTTCACCAAAAATTTTAAGCTTCAAATATAATACTGCTTTATAATTAAATGCTAATAATATTTGAATAAAAGTTAAGAGATGATAAGTATTTATTGTTGTTTTTCAGGCTTCTCAAGTATAATATTTTTTTTTTTTAGAAAAACAATTTTTGAAAACTCATAAAATAACTCTTTTAGCTTCTAATTTTAGTGTTCATATTATATAATTGTCTATAAGATTAGTAAAATAAAATTTTATATTTTTAAATATTAGAATCTTGTGCATATTAACTTTAAATTTATATACACTTTGCACACATAATTTCAAATCCAAATTTTTTACACTGGTCTAGAATC